AGGAAACATATTTAATATAAACACACACACACATATATATATATATATATATATATATGTACACATGTATACATATATATGTATATTATATATATACATATATATGTCTTGACCAAACTTGACATGGCTAGTTTTCTCTCCCTGTTGTGAATCCTCTGATGTTGAATAAGGTTTGTATTGCATCTATCACATTTCTAGGCCTTCTCTACAAGATGAGTACTGTGAGATTTAATTAGGTTTGACCTACTATGGAAGGCTTTTCCACATTCGTTAGACTGAGGAGGCCTCTCTCCAGCTTGAATCAGTTGATACTGAGTAAAGCATGAGGAGTCATTGGCTGGAGTTGTCTTCCACATTCGTCATGTGTATATGGCTTCTATCTGGTATGAAACGCGTGGGCTATATACGATCTAAGCCTGGAATGAAGGCCTTCTGACATTCATTACATTGATAAGGCTGCTCCCCAGGTTGAAGCTCTTATACAGAATAAGCCTTGAGTTCTGTGGGCTTGGCTTTCCATTGATGAAACTGCTCTCCAGTATGAATTCTCTGATGTTTAATTAGTTTTGACCTGCCAGAGAAGGCTTTTGCACATTTAGTTCATTCTCTCCAGAATTATTCAGCTGTTGTTGAAAAAAAAGTATAAAGAATTATTGAATTCTGTCCCACAGTCACTACAGTTATAAGACTTTTCTCTGACATGAACTATCTGACTTTCTCACACTCATTAATATCATAAAACTTTTCTCCAGGGTGAGTCCTGGCCAATATCCGGTATGATCTGAGTCCTGAGTGAAGGCTTCCCCACATTCATTGCCTTTCTAAGGCTTTCTTCCAATATGAATTGGCTGGTGTTGAAGATGGGTTGATTTCATAGTGAATGAGTTCCTGCCTTCTTTACACTTACAAGGTTTCTCTCCAGGGTGAATCCTCTGATATGGAATAAGCTTTGAGTTGTCAATGTGTGTTTTTCTGCATTCATTACTGTTTCAAAACTTTCCCCCAATGTGGATCTTCTGATGTTTGGTAAAGCATGAGCACTGACTGAAGCCTTTCCCACATCCTTTTGTAGAATTTCTCTCCAAGATGAATGTTTTGGTGCTTAACAAAGATTGTGCCTCTCCAGAAGCCTGTCTGATGTTTGCTACATTGATCACTTTTCTCTTCACTATGAATCTTCAGAGATTTAATTATAAGGATGAACTTCTGTCAAAAGAGACTGAGGAGAGGTTGGACGGGTAGAAGAGAGTAGTGTCATGAAAACCCAGAGAGAAGTGGGTGATGAGAAGAAGCCCTTATTACTATCTGCCAGGCACAGTGCACAGAAAACCAATGTTTTCTATTTGATTCTCACTGCAACCCTGCAAGGCAGGTGCTATTATTTCCTCAATCTTACGGTTGAAGAAACTGTGGCAAACAGGAGAAATAAAATCCTGTGTGAGGCAGGATTTGAACTGTCTAATGGGATGGAGAAGGGCCCAGAGACCCTACCATGCCATGCCCAGTGGGGTGGGGTAGGCACTCAGACACCCTCCAATAGCGTGTCCAGTGAGGTGAAGGGTCAGACACCCTACACTGACTAGCTGTGTCACCCTGGGCAAGTCACTTAACCCTGTTTGCAGATGAGTTTCCTCATCTGTAAAATGAGCTGGAGAAGGAAATTGGGAACCTGGAGGGGTATCTTTGCCAAGAAAAGCCCAAATGAGGTCACAAGGAGTCCGACATGACTGAACAACACTTTATAGCAGCTCTTTGTGTGGCGGCAAAGAATTGGAAACTGAGGACATGTCCATCAAATGGGGAATGGCTGAGCAAGTTACGGCAGATGATTGGGATGGGATATTACCGATGTTGTTTGTCCTTCGTTCACAAAGAGGACCATGGTATCAGGGAGGGGTGCTGCGACAGGCAAGAGAATTGGATTTCAGTGAGGCACCGCTGTGCAAAGTCACCAGCCTCACTTTCTCCTCCAGAGCTGCCTGGGGCCAGTGGCCAGAGACAGATCAGGAAGACTGGAGATGGCTGTAAGAAGTGATGAAGGGGATTGTTTCAGAAAAACCCAGGAAGATTTGTGTGACTTGTTACAGAGTGAAGTGAGCAGAAGCAGAACAGTTTATGCACATTTACACAATTTATTATGACAACATATAAAGTATATATATAAAGTATAAAGACTTTAAAAGACTTGGGAATTCTGATCAACGTCATGGCCAACCACAGCTCTGGAGAACTCGCGATGAAACATGCTGCCCATCTCCAGAGGATGGACCTACGAACATATGGATTGAAATGTGAATTTAGTTTTGGACGTGGCTAATGTAGCAGTTTGCTCTGCTTGGCTCAACAGAGTCTTTCTTGCTTTCTCATGGGTCAGTGAGGGGGAGGAAGGAGGGAGAGAATTTGGAACTGAAAATAAAATAAAATCAAAATAAAAAAAGATAACGAGTTCTGTTTCAGACATGTTCAATTTGAGGTGCCTGAGTCATTTGGACACCCTCAACTGACAGATATGATCTCCTTTCTCAAGGTTGCCAAAGACAGGTTGATCCTTCAGTCAGTAGCTAGCCCTATAATTCCATCAAGTTAATTAAATCGCTTGTTTAGTGGCTCATCTGAGTCTGAAGGGATTGAAATCTCACTAATGTATAGAATGAGCCCCTCCCAGGTTTTAGTTAACTTCTCCGGATGTGGACTACTCCAGGTTTCCTGCCCTTCACCAGCTGTCACTGTAAGCACTCAGAAGCTGAAAGGGCCAGCCTTACTTAACACCTCATCCCCTGTCCTCTCTGCACTTTCTATCCTCTAGTTTCATCACGGGTTAGGGGAGAGGGAGCTCTACTGGTTAGTCCCTCACTCCAGAGAGAAGACAGACTTCATCTCCATTTTCTTCAGCTATGGAGAATGCTCCCAGACCACCAAAGGGTAGAAGAGAGTAGTGGAGGGAATGAAAATAGGAGAAAATATCCAGATTACCTTTATAGTATTCAAGCCTTGCTGAGCCATTGATGGGAGGCTCCCAGGAGCCATGGACAATGGGGATAGATTAATATTCCAATGTTTTAAAAAGAGAAAGGACCTGGATTATGTGAACTCTGAGCTAGCGAAATCGTGAACACTGGAAGCTCAGAAGGAAAAACGAGGCACCAAAGATAGTTATGGCAGTGTCATCTGTAGTGATAAAAACACTAGATGCCGTTGAAATGTCCAACAACAGGGAAACGGTGAAATAAATTATGGAGACTTCACAGAAGGAAATGTGTGAATGTGATTCAGGTTGAGAAGTCTGGGGAATTCAGAGGTGCGGGAAAGACTTTTATGGAATAATGCAAAGCAGAAAAAAATAGCCCTGGGAAGATATAGGCATTAATATACTCATCATAACTGAAACGTACAAGGAGTGGATGGGGATGAGAGATTCCCCTGTGGAGGCTGAGAGTGGCTGGCTCCCCTATCTGAGCCACCAGAGAGGGATCAAAGGGCTTAAGGTAGTGATGCTCCAGGGCTGGGTAAGTGGAATCTCATCAACACTTAACCCTGTCTATTGAGATGATTATAAATTGTAACTCCCGAGGGGCTTGTAGAGAGATCTCCCAGTGCAAGGAGACTTTCTCTCTGTCTTTCTCTCTGTCTCTGTCTCTCCCCCTCTTTCTCTGTTTCTTTTCCCCCCGTCTCTCCTCCCATCTCTCTGTCTCTCTCTCCCTCCCTCCTCCCCTCCTCTGTATCTGTCTCCGTCTCTTTCTCTCCTCTCTCTGTCTCTCCCCCATCTCTCTGTGTCTCTGTATCTCTCTCTCTGTTTCTGTCTCTCCTCCCCTCTCTCTGTTTCTGTATCTCTCTCTGTCTCTCTGTCTCCATCTCTCTCTCCCCCTCTCTATCTCTTCCCGATCTCTCTGTTTCTCTGTATCTCTCTCTCTGTGTCCCTGAATCTCTTTCTCTGTCTGTGTGTCTCTGACTCTCTCTGTCTCTCCCCCCTCTGCCCTCTCTCTCGTCTCTGTCTCTCTCCACCTCTCCCCTCTCTGTCTCTCCTCCATCTCTCTGTCTCTGTATCTCTCTCTCTGTCTCTGAATCCTTCTGTCTCCGTCTCTCTCTGTCTGTCTCTCCCCCTCTCTCTGTTTCTCTCTGTCTCTGTCTCTGTCTCCCTCTCCCCCATCTCTCTGTGTCTCTGTCTCTGTCTCTCTCCCCTCCCCTCTCTCTGTCTCTCCTCTGTCTCTGTATCTCTCTCTGAATCCTTCTGTCTCTCTGTCTCTCCAGCCTCTCTCTCTGTCGCTCTGTCTCTGTCTCTCTCCCCTCTCTCTGTCTCTCCTCTGTCTCTGTCTCTCTCTTCCCCCTCTCTCTGTCTCTCCCCATCTCTCTGTGTCTCTGTCTCTGTCTCTGTCTCTCCCCCCTCCCCATCTTTGTCTCTCCCCTCTCTCTCTGTCTCTGTCTCTCTCTCAAAGGAAGCATGCTTAGCTGGAATCATTCAAACCTGTACAGCAATGTCTGCTAGGCTGGTGCCTGGAGCCCAGAGAACAGTGCTTTTTCTGTAATAATGACTGTTTGCTGATTCTCCCTTGGTGTTTGTGCCCTTCTCAGGGCAGCTGGGAGGGTCTGGGCTGAGCTGGCCTCTAGTAGGCGGGGGGGGGGGGGGGGGGGGGGGGGGTGGCCGCAGGGGAGGGATGGGGGGTCAACCTTGGGGGGGTTGCAAGGTCTCTCAAGGTGGGGAGTACCTTGACACTCACAACATCTTAGATCCAGGGCTGTAAGGGACCTCGGAAACCGTCAAATCCAACCCCCTCTCATTTTACAGAAGAGGAAACTGAGGCTTCAGCCAGAGAGGCTGCACCTTGTCCAAGGTCACCCTCCAGTAAGTAAAGTTCAAGGGCGGGATTTGAACCCAGGTCCACCGGCTGCAGGCCACCCAGATGATTCATGTTAGAGAGAAGCTTGGAGGCCATCATTGCTGGTGAGGGAAGGACGCAGAGGGAAATTTTGTGATTCATCTCGGGTCACCCCACAGCCGCCCCATGACTGCTGAGAGGAAACAGCCCCTTGGTGGGTCCTCTGGGTGGCCAGGAGGCAGGTGCGCCCTCACCACATCCTTTGTTAACATCCAGGCTCTCGGCCTCAGGCTCTTGGCCCCACGCTCTTCTGTGAACACGGGCCTTGGCCGGAGCCGCCAGACGATGTGTTCCTGGAATCCTGTCCTGCTTTGCCTGGGTGAGGCCTGGGGACCGGGGCTGGGGGGAAGAGGGAAGGGATGGATGGTCCAGAAGGGATGGCTGAGGGAGGGATGAGCCTTGTGACCTGGGCTGGGATGCTCACTGCCCTGGTTTTACCCTCTGTAAGATGAGGCTAGTGCATCAGGGGAAGTAGAGGCTCCTGAGGGCCCCTGGAGATGAGGCTTCAGGCAGGGTGGGGATTGGGCCCAGTGCCCCCACTAATTAGGGCCTTTCTCCCCAGGGCTCTGTCTCAGTTACATGACTGGGGTGACAGAGGGTAAGTCATGGCCCCCAAACTCTGCACCTCCAGGTACCCCGAAGCTGGGAGGCAGTGAGTGTGTGAGAGGTGGCCCTGGGGGCAGGATTGGGAGTTAGGAGACATGGGTTCAAATCCTACCTCTGATCCATATGCATTGTGTGACCTGATCTCTCCAGGCCTCAGTTTCTCCCCCTGCTGTATCTCTGTGATCCCCTGACAGTGAGGGGGTAGGGTTGTGGGGCTTGGGGAACCCCATGGGATTGATTCTCTCCCAGGGAAACTCCCCAAACCTTCCCTCTGGGCCACACCGAGTCCCACCATCCCTGTGGGGTCACCTGTGAGCATCTGGTGTCGGGGACCACCTGGGGCCCGTTTGTACTACTTGGAGAAGGCTGGGAGACCCGAATCTTTGCTGAAGACTCACCAGCCTTGGCCTAGGAATGAAGTCTCATTTTTCATTTCGGGTGCATCACAACTCAATGCTGGGCCTTACCTCTGCTCCTACCAGCTACTGGCTCGATGGTCCGAGCCCAGTGATGCCCTGGAGCTAGTGGTGACAGGTGAGGGGGACCCTGCCCAGGACAGATATGAGGAGGGGTGGGGATGAGCAGGCTCCAGCCCTCTGACTGCCTCCACCTTCTTTAGGGGTCTCTCGGAGCAAACCCCACTTACTGATGAAGCTGAACACCTCCACATCTCTAGAGGCCAGGACTGAGTCACGCCCTACAGCTGCACCAGGCCCCACTGAGGACAGAGGCACCAGTAGGCCAGATTCAACAGCTGGTGAGGGACGGGGGCTGTCAGGGCTGGGGAGAATGGGGAGTGGGTGTGAGGGGCCCTGTCCTCTGCGGGGCCATGCACATAGACCTCTTCCCACTGTGTCTGTCCAGGTCCCACCCTTCAGAATTATACGGTGCCCAATCTCCTCCAGATGGGCCTGGCCGGGTTTGTCTTGGCCGTTCTGGGAGTCCTGCTGGCCTGGCCTGGCTGGAGGGGCAGCCCCCTGACTGGCTGCCTCTGCCTTCATAGACACTTTCACTTTCTCAGGTAACCTGGGAAGACAACATCCTGGCCTGTCTGAGCCTGGGGGATGGTTCTTAGACATAGATGCCTGATGGGGGAGTGGATGGAAAGTGATGGCGGTCCAAGGTGGTCAGTTATGGGAGGAACCCCAAGGGGCCCAGGGGGAGGAAGGATTGTGGAGGGGCAGCCTCTCCCCCTTCTGCCCCTCTCTCACCTCCTCCCTGTACCCTTGAGCAGAGTCCGGGGGCGTCTTCCTCCAGCCTCCAGGGGCTTCGTGGCCACATCCTCTCTGGACCTCGCTCTTGAAGCTCTCCCACCTGCTTCTGGCCCCAAGCCAGACTCAGAGCAGATGACAACCCTCAGGACAGGTCGTCCTACAATCACTCTGGGTCCTCACCAGCTCACCTGGGGAAGCCTAGAGGTGCTTCAGGAACTCACCCCAGGTAGTCGGAAGTCCTGAGAGTGAAGGGAGGCCAGGTATGTGTCTGAGGAGCTGTTCAGGCATCTGGAGAGCCTAGCTCACCCACATTTAGTGGGGTTCCATAGCAAGGTGGGGCACTGAGTCTAGGAGAGGCATCTCATTGGGGGTGGTGGGAGCTGGCGCCCAAGAGGGGAAGTGGCTTTTGAGGGTCCCACAGTAAGGAAGCAGGACTTGGAGCAGGCCCCTTCATTCCTCCGCCAGTGCCCCACGAGGGTGTTCTTTCTTCACAGGAGGCCCTTCCTCATCTGGTCTCTGTTCCTGTCACCCAGGAAGAGGAAGGCTGGGGGGTGCTTGCTCAGCCTTGGAATCTACCTCTCTCCAGTGCCCTGCCAGCTCTGAGGCTCCCACCTTGTCCCAGGACCCCTCCAGCCCCCACAGCCTGGACCTTGGGGTCCCGATTGCTTCCTCCTTCATTTCAGTACTTCAGAAACATTTGTTGAGTGGGGCTGATTTACTTGCCAAGAGTTTATAGGTTTTAGGTTGAGCCTGCCATGTTTCAGATGAGGAAACTGAGGCTCAGAGGGGAGGAATTGACTTGTCCCAGATCACCCAAGTAGGAGAAAGCAGCTCCAGGCTTCCCACCCAGAGCCCTGACTCAATCCATTGATTGCAGCCCCCCCCCCCCCCCCCCCCCGTGCTCATCACCAGGCCTCCTCTGCTCCTGCGGCTGTCACCATCACACAGCCCCACTCCCACCTGCTGGACAAGGCCAATGACCTCCCAGCATGAGGCCCAGCGGAGATCCTGTGAAGGAAGCCACCTCTCCTGATGTAGAGAGAGCAGGGGTTTTTGGTGGGAGACAGTAGCCTGGGGCCCCAGAGGGGAGGGGTCACCCCACCAAGACATCAGAGGCAGGGCTTGACCCCAGCCTTCCTAAGCCCAAGGCTGGCTCTCTGTCCAGTACCACACACAAACACGTGCACATGCGTGTACACACATGCACGTCCATGCGTGCGTGCATGCGCACACACGCACACGCACACTTTTCTCCATGGCCATAACATTCTCGATTAGGCAATGTGATGTCAGATAGAGAGCTGGCCTCAGAGTCAGGGAGAGCCAGGCCTGCTTCCTGTATCTGTGGAATCCCTGGCTGTGACTCCTGCCTGGGTGACCCCAGGCTGTGCGACCTGGCCTATGTGACCCCCATCTGTGTGATCCTGCCTGTATGATCCTGGCTGTGTGATCTGGCCTGTGTGACCCTACCTGGTGACCCCCCCACCTGTGTGACCCTACCTGGTGATGTCACCTGATAACCCCTGCCTGTGTGACTGTCTGGGGGAGCTTCTCAGCACTCACTCACAGCTGAGGAGCGCTAGTGAGAAGGATTTCCCCATTGGGAATTCCCCAGAGCAGGGCTCTCCGGGGTCTAGTCCAGAAGGACCCCCAATCCTGTTTCCCTGCTCACTCACATAGCATTCTAAGGTATAAGGCTTGCCAAGCCCCTTGTGGGCGTCCTCTCCTGCATCATTCTTCAGTGGCTCCCCAGCACCCACCAGGTGCCCGGGTCCAGCCTTGCATTGATCCCTTCTATCCTTCCCCATGCATCTTTGCCACCTTGCGCTCCCACCAGGGACAATTTGCTGCCTCCCACCCCTGGAAATGACTTCGGGGCTACTTGAGAGAGGTATATCTATTTTTCTGTGTAATCCATGAGGGTTTCTCACCTTAGTAGCTTTAGTGCCCTGCACATAGTAGGTGCTTTATAAATGTCTGAATCAATAAAAAATGTACCCGAGTTTTCTTTTCACACCTCCTGCTCCCATGGCTCCTCAGCCTATGGCATCTTCCTTGGACCTTCTGTGACCTCCCGGGTCCAGAGAGGAGTGTGGTGTCTCCACTTGCCTCAGTCTCCTTGGCCCTCGCCAGGAGGCAGGGAGGCTCCCTTGAGGCAGGAACCACTCCCTTAATCCATATCTGTTGGATCCTCTGTGGACTGCTTTTGGTCAGGAAGACTCTGAGGGGCCTGACCCATCCCAGCCTCATGGTAGGTCAGAGGGGTGGCTGTCCAGACGTGCTATGGCTAGGGCTGTGTGGCCCACGTAGAGAAGTGTGTGTGGTGGGAGGTAGGGGGAGGGCCGGACTCAGAGGATTGCTGGGCCAGGGACCTTCCCCACAGCATGGATCTCTGAAAGGAAGTCAGGCTGGAGAGCTAGCTGCTCTGGAGAGCCCAAAGGACTCTCTCTCCTAGTATCCTGTGGTGTTTTTCTGTGCCCTTTGGGGCCACCCAGCTCAGGAGTGGCTGGAGGGGTGGGGCCAAGAGATGTCCCTAAAGAAAGAGTCAGAAGGACTCACACCTACGCCCAATTTGCTTTGTGACCTTTGCTGACTAGCTTCCCCTCTCTGTTCCTCACACTTCTGGGATTTCCTCCTACGGCTAAAATTCCATCTCAGAGAAGAGCACACCAACTGGGCACCTGAGAACTCAGCCAGCAGTTGTGGATTTACTCAGAGCATAAGAGGCAAGGGGACACATTCCCAAAGTATGGAGGCCCTTAGAAGGGAGGCAATGCTGAGCACAGAGCCTTGGAGTAAGTCAGTCAGTTGACAGGCATTTATTAAGCTCTTACTGTGTGCCAGGCAGAGCGCTTTGCAGTGGGGTTGCAAATGTAGCCCATACTTTGTAATTACTCTCCCTATCCCTGCTTGCATTAGCAGGTTAGGGCCCCAGAGCTTGGTGGGGCTATTTCTTATCTCTTCAGAGTCTAGGGGTAGCCCAGAGGGATTAGGGGGCAATTATTTAATGCTATAGCTCGTGAGTCCTCACCACTGTGCTTCTGGCCATGAGTTGATATCAATGAATTAAGCTGACTCAATCAGCTTTTAGAAATGAAAATTTACTATGAGGGTCTGGCTGGTACAAAGCAGCTGCCTCACACTGGAAGTTTACCCTGCCCTTGGTCCCCTTCCTCTGACTGGGACTGCCTTGTGCTTGTGGCTGTGCTTTCAGAGCTTAGCACAGTGCCGGGCACAAAGTAAGTGCTTGATGGATGTTAGCTAACTGGAACAGTCTCCCCCCTTCCCAAGTCTGTGACACCCACCAGGCTCCAAAGAGATCCTGAAAGAGGAGAAAGATCCGCCTATATGTGCAGAAACATAGCAGCTCCGTTTGTGGTCGCAAAGAGTAGGGGATTGGGAGGGCAGGCTGAATGGGCTGTGGTGTATGAACCGGAACACCGCTTAGAATTCCTTTGACTCTTTGATTAGATCTTAGCCATCCTGGCTGGATAGGTGGTGGAGAAAGGCCTACACTGATCGAGGTCTGCATGAGGAAGTAGGAAAGGGGAAAACCTTTGGTTTCCATGCAATAATTAGCTAGTAAATAAATCTCAATGTGACTGTGTCAGAATTAATGAGGAAAGGGACAGTTGCAGTGAAACCTGAGAAGATGTACACAGAGTTACGTGGAGGGAAGTGAGCAGAGCCAGGGGAAGGATTTATGTGATAACAAGGACAACACTGCAGAGATAAACCAGGCCAAGACGAGAGCTCCCATGTACCAGCTCCAGCCAAGCCCTGATGTGATTCACACCAGGCAGAATACTTAGGAGGAACTCTCTGCAGAAGCTACAATCCATGACTGCTTCCACCACTGACAGAAATGCATAAAAACTCAACCATAGCAATAGGAAAGGGAGCCCCGTGAGCAAAGCCAAGATCAGCTCGGAGCATCTTCCCAGATGACCAGAGACGGGGCATTTGTTGTTGGCAAAGTTCTGAGTCCAGAGGCAGCAAGAGGGGAGAAATCCCCTGAGAAAGCCTCAAGGGGGTCTACATCTTCCCCAGGGGTCCTCGGAAGCCCTGGAGGCAGCTGGAGCCAGTGTGGATGGGGAAGCTTGGACAAAGACATCCCAGAGCTCAGGTCGCCAGCACCCTGCTGAGAGATGCTGCAGAGGGCTCTCAAAGTCCAGTGCTCTGAGCCTGGAAGATCCAGGGGGAGGTGAAGGTCAGTGGAGAAACTCAGGTGACCCAGGTCAAGGCCAAGGAGGGCTGACTATGGTACCCAAAGACATTTATTGCTGTCTGTTTGTGTCTGACTCCCCGTGACCCCTTGTGGGGTTTTCTTGGTAGAGATATCAGAGAGGTTTGCTGTTTCCTTCTCCAACCCAAAGAAAGAGCAGGGGCCAAAGCTTGGCACAAGGGTCTGAGCAGTGACTCTGGAAAGGAATCAGGGACGGGGGTTGGGGAACAGCTGTGTGGGGATACCTTCCTTGTGGGAGTCGCCTGTGAGCATCAGGTTTTGGGGGCCTTCTGGAGTTCATTTGGGCTATTTAGAGAAGGCTTTGAGTCTGGAGTCTGAGCTGGAGTTAGACCATTCTGCTGGCCAGGAACAAAGCCACATTCTGTCCTCCAGGGGTGACCCAGAGACATGCTACACTCCAGAGGCCAGGAATGTTCTGGAGCTGGGGGGGGGCGGTGTAACAGGTGACCCAGACTCCAACTGTCACCCTACCTTAGTTAGGGCCGAGAAGGAAGAGCCTTTATGAAGCAGACCTAGGAGGAAAGGGGAAGGACCAGGAGATTAGAATTGGAGAGATGGGTGGCCTCAGCTGCTCCAATTTTCTCAGAAGCCTCTCAGAGCCCAGCTCACTTACACCATGGACAGAGAGTCACCCCAGAGACTTTCAGATGGAGGAAAGGAGATGAGTGAGGATCTCTGGCCCTCTGCCCCTCCCTCCTGGGATTGTTATACTTATAGCTAGCATTTATATATTGCTTTGAGGGTTGCACAGCACTTTACAAATATGTTTGTAGCAACAACCCTGGAAGGTAGGTGCTATTATTATCCCTATTTTATTGTAGAGGAAACTGAGGCAAACAGGGTAAAGTGACTTGTCCAGGGTCACACAGCTAGCAAGTGTTTGAGGCCAGATTCTTAACTTCCCTGGGTCTCAGTTTCCTCCCCTGGAAAAGAAGGGGGTGGGACGGGATGGTCTCAAAGGTCCCTTGCAGTCCCAGATCTATGTTCTCAAGCCACAGCAAGAGCTGACATTTGCCCAGCATGGTAAAGTTCTCAAGGCACTTAAGGGACCCACATAGCTCACTCAGTCCTATACAACAAGAAGAAACTGAGGCCAGGAAGGTTTAAGCCACTTGTCAAGGCGACTCCCTAACACATGACAGATGCTGTCCCTTGGGCTCCTTTACCCCCTCCCTCCCCAGAGCCCTGGGGCTATTCTAGACAGCAATGAGGAAAGCCTCCAGGAAGACAGCCTGTTACTCATCCAGAGAGGCCCAGAAGCAATGGACTTGTCCACCACATGGTGCTTCTCTCCAGCCCAGTGGCCTTTTCCCTCTCCTCTATGCTGGCAGAGTACCCCAAAGTGGCTAGTCCCCAACACAGACCACTGAATGCTTCCCAGCCTGAAAATGCCTGGGTGCCCCTCCCAGCTGCCAAGTCATTATCATTTCAGTGGTGCTTAGCAGTTTGAGTCGACTGTCGATGGCAGGGTTCCAAATCAGTCTAGGTGATGAAGTGAGTATTGCTTGAATTATTAAAATGTGAAATCTGTTCTTCAGACCTAGCTCATGAACTGCCTTCCTCCTTCCTATCCACGAAGGGTCTTCTCCAGTGGTCCTGATCTATATCTGGCCACTGGACCCAGATGGCT